AAAAAAAATAAATCGAATCGTCCACCTAATTGCCAACACGAAGAAAAATAAAATGACAAAACACCAAATGCAATACCACGTTTCGAGTATAAAACCAAAAAATAATCCCGTATTCAATTCCACGGATTAAGTTTCTCAATTTCCCATTCATAACTCTTCAATCCAAAGTCCAATTGATTTTTTTTTTACAGCCAGTCTTTTTACAGCCCCTGAGAAAAAAAAAATGATGCCCGACCCTCCATACAAATACGCGGTGTGTTACGATTAGAAATTCCCAGTGAACAAAACCATAAACATAAAAACAGTAAGTACTCCAAAGGAGTGTATCTTACGATTCTCTTCTCCTCACACCAAAACCCACCACCAATTGGAGGGTGAAACACCCAGTTTTGAAGCACCGCGTGTTCTCGATGTTTACGGTGATACCAACTGCCCATAAAATAGCACCTAACTGGACCCACTCGCATACACACATACATATTCCAACGAAAAAGCCCGCCCACCCCATCCCCCCCCTCTGTCACAAGCCACCTCTTTTGTACTCTCTATTTCCCTTTTTTTCCGCTTTATCGTATCCTCGATATCCAACCCCCAACTTGTCCCCAGGAATGCCATTCTCTCGGTGACGTCAAACGTTTATCGGTCATTGGAATATCCACAAGAGGTAATTTTTTATTCTCCACTCCAGAAAGGAGAATAAATAAAAATCCACGTGATAAATGGGCTTTTTCACCTCTGAATAAAAACAATTTATGAAATAAATACATTCCCCTGTCCTTATCATCACCCACCAAATTAATGACAATAACAAAATAATTTCAATTAATATTATTTCGATATTCTCCTACACCATGAAATTCGTGTAATTTCGTCCAACGAAAATTAAAATGAAGAAATTGAAAGTGGAAAATAATGATGAAAAGTGATGAAAGCCGATTAATGACATGAGTAAAATATGATAAACTCGTACATCCCGTAACGACCACTGACTACCACTAGGATATAAGACAAGACCTACCCCGAGCGTTAGAGAGTCTCACGTGCATTATAATTCCACAGATAGCGATAACCCTTCAGCTATTCAAGTGCCGTTTCCATCCACCCCCAAAAGCCCACCCCCTCCTCTATCCTCTCTATACCCTCTATCGTCATCGTGGCCGTGCCATTGCATCTTCAGCTATGTAGATATCCTACATACCTTCTGCACGTACCACCGTCAGTTGCAGTGTTCGTCTTACAGCACTCTAGAGGACTAAGTGCCCACCAGAGTACAGAGACTCACGCAACGGTTTAATACGGATATTTCTACGTGCTAACACGAATGACACGATTCCAAGGTGATGCTCTCAACCAACTCAACTACAACAGTCTGATATAACTCGGTATTTCGGGACTATGTGCATTATCCAGTCAATTGGAATTTCTTGTCATGGAATTTTACCGATTATTTGAGAATTCCCGGGACTAACGCTGAGATATTTATCCTAAATTTTACCCTTCCTAAAAATACTGCCATTTAACGTCTACGATTTTTCGATTAAATTATGAGTGAATGCATGTTAATGAAAAATGGGTGAAATACAAATGATTAAAGTACTGATTTTTTAACCGATATTTTGATTTTTAACGTGAAATCAAAGGGAATTTGTCAGTTTAAATCGACAGAGTGACAATTCACGATTATCCAAATTCTCAATAGTCAAGTGAAATCCGCATAATAACAACGACGTTGAAAATACCGATGTGGCATTGGAGGCATGGTAGAAGTATACCGGTAGAAGGTGGAGGTAAAAAGCGATTACCTATCGAGAAGGTAGATTTAGTTATTCAATGGGCTTCACGTGGAAACGATTCAACGCATTACCGCGCCATTTGCGTAATCTACCGTGAACATTTAAATCCACTAGGTACTTGCCAGACTCGTGAAAATTCATTGGTTACGCCCATTCACTCAATATTTCAAATCCATTTTCACTATCGGTTGTTAAGGATGCGCATTGTACACGAATTGACGGATTTTCCCTGTGCTCAATGCATCGGAATTCGTCGCATTTGCGGTGATAAAAAATAATTCAACTCTCCCCCTTTTACCATTAATTGTCAGTACAGTCCATTATGAATTATTAAGCGAGGATAAAATTTACAGATAATCTGTAATCAACCATTTAATTGCATTTCGTTCATTTATCCCAATTATTTTTAGTCAAAAAAAAAAAAAAAGAATAACCCTCAAACTCAATCCATCCAATTTCACCCCCTATTCAACCCTCTATTTCAAAATGGCGTTCTTCCCCTTTCCCCTCATAACCCACCGTGTGCTGACACTGTTAAACAATATTTGTTGGACAACTCCTAAGAGTCAGTCTGGAGCAACAAAACTCATGGGGTATTAAGTTCAGTTGGCAGTAGGTTGGACCCCTCCCTCTCTCGTTATAACCACAGAACAGAACAGACTCACCCGAGACCAGCGGTGAAACACGAATGGAAATAGTTTTCTACTCGCCAACCCACCACTAAGTAATAGGAGGCAAGAGGGTGAATGTGGGGTGGTAAAACTTGCTGTGGAGATGAATAATGAGTACACAACCGGAAAGTGCAACAAATTAACTTGTGACTCAACACCGACAGAATGACGCGTCAATTATCAAAATTACCCCCAATTAATTCACCAATTCGAGTTGAACAACAATAAAGCAATAAACAACGGGACAGTATTACTGGATAAAAACGATGAGATAAAAGAATGGGAGAAGAGACAACTGTTGTGGTGGCAGAATGAGAACGAAAAACACGTAGTGGGTGCTCTTTTCATTTCTTCGGTGGTACGTGCTCAGCCTAGCAAAAGCTCATTGCATAAGAAGCACGATCGAATATAAATCATGCTTTTGTATTTCTCAAAGTAACTACCATCCCCCTGACCCCCTATTTCATCCCGGAGAGGGAGGGGGGCCTGCCCCCCTCCCCCCCCCATCAGAGACACTTGAATAATTTCTGAAACGCTCCTCTCTACGTCTGAAATGGAATAATTCATGATCGGTATGGGTCTGCAAAAATCATAATTACTGAAGTTCATGCACCGGAAACTTGGAATGATGTACGTAGCCGGGGGTAAAACTACTTGCCAACTCCTAGAGGGCGATATTTAAATTCAAATTACTCGCAGTCATTGGAGATTTTCAGTGGCTCCACGAGCATTCAACCTTTTCTATATAAAATATTAAT